TCTATTTTTCTGATGAGAAATGTCCCAAAGAAACTAACTGGTTAGATTCTTCAATTCTTCATTATTCTTCATTAGTTGTAATGGAAAAATCTGATCAGTTAACAAAACTTTATTTAAACTTGCACCTTTTATGTTTACAGCTACAATGTTAAATGAGGAATTAATGCTCATCAAAATTTACAGGGTTCTCTATATTCAAAATATAGAGAATAACTGCAACAGAACTAAAATGAAAACCTTCTCAGGCAATTTCATTAAACCAACTTTATGCCAGCTCCATATATTATCTATACTTAAACATCAATTTGAAGTAAAATTATTAGCCTTTCATAACTGATCAAACTGTTTCACAAAATTTTGCGAAGTTCATATCCAAAAAGCTGTTTCTGAAGTTGCATGTTGATAGAAAACATGAGAAAAAGGATAAATTTTGGAGGTCAAGAATACATTGTATACTTTCTCCACAATTATGGTGAGAAGGCACTATAGGAACAATCCACACAATTGTACATCTATACCACCCATTTCTTACAGCAGCCAACATGTAAAACAGTTTTACTGAGAGTTTAGTCACATCTTTCTTGCTACTGTTTGCTTTCCAATAGTTGTGTAAGATATGTGTAGAAAGTGCTGAAGACAATGAAGTCTGCCAGCAGCTGTGGGCAAGGAAACATAGTTAACGTTTTGAGTCTGCTATGACTCTTAGAATCCATGGGAGATTCAGTGGACTTGAAATGTTAACTCTATTTCTCTCTAGACCTGTTGAGCTTCTCCAGCATTTTCTGCTTTTATTTTAGATCTTCAGCAAGCTTATTATATTGGCTTTATTCACGAAATATACATGCTGTGAGAATAAAACAACTTCATTAAACCTCCCACAGCAGCTCAGTGGTTCCACCTGTCCTCACTTTCCACGTCACTAGCCCAAGTACTCAAAGGGTTATCCTTCACCGTTTCCAGTATGATGTCACTTTATACACATCTTCCCTGCAGCATTCCAAAGGATTCTCTTCACAACACTCTGGTCCACTCCTTTATCACTGTCAGCACTCCAACTCCCTCCCATGACACCTTTCCAAGTGTTTGCAGGGTGTAAAACCTGCCCTTTACTACTTCTTTTCTCACTGTCCAAAGCCCCAACACTCCTTCCAGGCAAATCAGCAAATTACTTGAACTTCTTGATGATGTGGTTTCCATTACACAGGGGAGACTAAACACAGACTATATAAGCACTTTATAGAATACTTATGTCAGTCTGAATGCATGACCCTGATCTTCTTGTGACTTGCCATTTTTATGCATTATCTTCCTCTCATGGTGCATAAGATATATCTGTTTTAGCTCCGCCAAAGTTCAGTGAAGCACGTCACACGCTGGGGCTGGCACTTCACTTTTGGATTAGGTCCTTTAAAGTCTTTTGGACTTAACACCGAGTTTAACAAATTCAAACCATGAACTCTGTCCTCCATTGTGATAATTCCCCCCTCCCCCTGTAACCATCACCACCATCCTGCACCCGCAGCTCATCTTCATATTTTGCTTTCAGCCAGAGGTGACCCATATTCTGCTATTAACACTATTCCTGCTATTCCCCGGACAAATGGTTCTGAGGGTCACTGGACTCAAAATGTTAACTCTGCTTTCTCTCCACAGATGCTGCTAGACCTGCTAAGTTTCTTGAGCAATTTCTGTTTCTTTTTCAGAACTTCAGCATTCACAATTCTTCGTTTTATATTGGGCAAATGGTCTGTCTTTTCTCTACAACTGTTACCAATTACTTTACCTTCCGTTCTATAACACTTTTGTCCTCTCATCTTTCACTGCATCTTCCACTTGTCCCACCCCTACTTTTCAACAACATTAAAACGATCCCATCTCCATCTCACTTCAGTTTCAAAGTCATATTAAACTTGAAATGTTAACTGTTTTTCTCTCCACAGATGCAGCCAGGCCTATTGAGCTTCTCTAGCGCTTTGTTTTCATTTCAGATCTCCAGCTTCTGCAATTATTTGCTTCTTTTAATAGTTCAGACCGCTATTAGTTGTTACAATTTTATTTGAATGTCTGTAAATGCAAAATCTCCAGCAGTAATTCTTTTATTTTAATAGTTGAAGCCCTATAAAACTATAATGGAACATAAAATGTTAAAATGCAAATTATGTCACCGAGTATCTAAGAACAGTAAAAGACAAATTGTTATTTTGGGTGGGATCTTTCAGAGCTTCTTCCAATCACCAGTATGTAGCCTATCCCTTTATCTGTGGCATAAAATTGTTCATGTATCAGATAGCACCTTTCACGCGGAAGGTCAACTCTCCATGGACATTACTGACTGTTGGGGAAAACCAGACAAGAATGTCTGGAAATGACATGAAAGGAAGAAAATATTTTAAACTATGCTAAGTAGTATTACACGAGTTTGTAATGCAATCATTTAACATGATTGTTCAATTGATTACTGAAGTGATTAACTAAGCATTAGATACATTGAGTTATAAAAAGCGACACTGCTGTGAAAAAAAAAGTGATAGCCCAGTGACCAAAAGATTAGAGTGCAGTCAAAGGAAAGATGGTCTGAAATGAAATCTTATGGAGGTATAGAAAACAGTTAGGAGCTCATGTTGCAACTGCACAGAACATTGGTGAGGCCACTTTTGGAATACTGCACTCAATTCTCGTCTCCCAGCTATAGGAAAGATGTGGTGAATCTTGAAAGGGTTCAGAAAAGATTTACAAGGATGTTGCCAGGGTTGGAGGGTTTGAGCTATCGGGAGGGGCTAAATACGCTGGGGCTATTTTTCCTGGAGCGTCAGAGGCTGAGGGGTGACTTTATAAAATTTTATAAAATCATGAGAGGCATGGATAGGGTGAATATCCAAGGTCTTTTCCCCAGGGTAGGGGAGTCCAGAACTCGAAGGCCTAAGTTTAAGGTGAGAGGGGAAAGATTTAAATGGGCCTAAGGGGCAATTTTTTCACGCAGATGGTGGTGTGTGTGTACGGAATGAGCTGCCAGAGGAAGTGGTGGAGGCTGGTACAATTACAACATTTAAAAGGCATCTGGATGAGTACATGAATCGTAAAGGTTTAGAGGGATATGGGCCAAATGCTGGCAAATGGGTGTAGATTAATTTAGGATATCTGGTTGGCATGGACAAGTTGGACCGAAGGGTCTGTTTCCATGCTGTACATTTCTTTGACTCCAGGTACATTATCAAATGGATAGTTTGCAATTGCCTTTACTAAAAATGATGCTGCTAATGCTACCATTAAGAAAGAGGTAGGACAAAAATTTTAAGGGATTAAAGTATTTTAACAGGGTGTATATGGGATTTGGTTACTCAAAAAAGATACCCAGGTCAGGTGGATGCACGCTGGACAAAAAGGCTCTGGTCATACTTTTCCAATGGCCCACCTCCCCATCCCTTGAGTTCAGAAGTAGTAGGAGAGGACTGAAGAATCTCAAATAATACATTCCTGTTAAAAAGGAAGGGGATTAACTATGATAATTACAGGCTAATTTCCTCCAAATTAAGCTGCGACTGCAAGTACAAAGCCATAGTGAATTTTTGTTTGTGGACTGGAAGGAAACATACGATAGTATTCCCCCTGGGATCTGTATTGGGAAGACTGCCTTTTCTTTCAGTAATTATGACCTGGACTTGGACATAAAGAGCGTAATTTCAAAGTTTGCATAGAATATACATCTTGGAAGTTCAGTAACTGGTGAGTAGGATCTTGGAAAATTTCAGGAAGAACAAGACAGGCCACTGAAATAGATAGAGACACTGCAAAAGTATTTTAACACAGAGATATGCTAAGGGATGCAAGAACAGAAAGACCTGTGTGTTCATGTATATTGACGTACTAGGCCAAAAGATCTTTTTCTGTGTCATATCTTTTAAATACACACACTGTTAAAGGTAGTAGGACAACTTGAGAAGGCTCGCTTCAAAAAGAAAACATATGGAACTGTGGCTTTATAAATAGAGTACAAAAGCCAGGTTATTATGCAAAACCTTTATGCATCATTGGTAAAGCCTCTATTGAAGCAGTGTATTCAATTTTAAGTACTGCACTTTGGAAGGATGTCGAAGTCTTTGGAGATGGTGCAGAGGATAATTACTGGAATAGGTTGAGACATTTGGTTACATGGAATGTCTACACAAATCAGATTGCACTCCTTACGGCAAAGGGATTTAAGGAGATGTGGAATAGAAGTGCTTAAAGTGAGATGTTTGATATAGTAAACATAGAGAAACAGTTTCCACCAGCAGGAGGGTTATGAATCATGGAATTCCTATGGTGTGGAAAGAGGCTATTTGGCCCATCAAGTCTTCACCGACCCTCCAAACAAATCCCAACCAAAGTATTGATAAATGTGCATTGACAGTTACACTATACCCTAACAAACAGCTTGACAGCACGATCAACTTAAAAGTTATGGCATCTCATTTCCTTAGTAATGAATCAACCAACGTTAATTTTATAGCACTATTGGTATGACTTCGAACATTTATTGCTGTACTGTTCTGTCTCATCTTGTTATTTTTTTGGTTTAATCACAGTATCTTAACAGGAGAATGAAAAATACCAAAATTGAATCTCTTCTTAATAGCACTGTGTGTGTACCTACATCAATGAACCACAGTAGTTCAAGTACCACCTTCTCAAGAGCAATTATGGATCCAATGCTGGGCTAGCCAGTGACACCTGCAGTTCATGTAAGAATACGAATAAAGAAGAAACTCTACAATTAAATTAAGTATCGCTGCAAAAGCTAATCAGCTCAACTGGTTTCCCAGATTCTGTTGGTAGAATGGAATTTGCTATTATAAAAGTTGCAGAAGCACTGGACATGAAAGATGATGTAGTAGTTGGAGGTGAAAATAAATCCAGTGTATAATACTGAACATCAGATATCCCATTTCATTCAAAGTCTAAGACTATAGGATTTTTAAATTATACAACAGCACATCTTATTTACAAGGAAAATCACTTACTTGGGAGAGGTTGAATGTGGCTACAGTGCTATCATCATAAAGTAAGATGTTGATGGTATCCAGAGCCCAAGTGCTTTCTGCCAACAGACCAGATTTGAGAGACATCATAACTCTCCATGCCTCTGGAGCTCCTGAAAAAAAAAAAATCAATAACAGTTCAAGGATCATTTATCATTAAGTCCACACTGGAATCTTCTTTTCTATTAATCAAATAAGGAAGTGCAAAGTGATGTATTTTGAAGAACTAGGAGTCAAAACAAATGAAATGTTAAGTGCTGTAGAAACTCAGCAGGGCGGGGCAGCTGGAGAAAGAAATAGAGTTAAGGTTTTGAGTTCAGAATGACTCTTCTTTGGAAGATGAATCAGATTGGACTTAAAATATTCATCTTGTTTCTCTCATCACATGATGCTGCCAGATCTGCTGAGTTTCTTCAGAACTTTGTTTATACTTCACTTATTCAGCATCCCGGTATTTTGCTTTTGATGTACTAAATGGTGCAATTCTTAAGGCGTCCAGGATCAAATATTTGTGCCTGTACATACATAAGTCATTGAAGGTTTGCAGGCCAAGCTGAGAAAGCTCTTAAGAACCAGGAAATAAGAATAGGCCATTTATTCCCTGGAGGTTGTCCCAACACCATTGTGAGACATAACTCCAAAACTTTGCAACAGATCCCTTAATACCTTTGAATGATTTTTGTTAACCAACCTCAATTTTAAATTAAACAATTGGATTCTAGAATGAGAGCATCTATTGTGAGAAGAAAAAAGAACAAAGAAGAAGAATTGTTGAAGTCCTAACACAGATGCCCACGGCACATCCCATATGACATCCATCCAACTGGACTACCTGTTGTGGCCCTAATCACTGTTGTTTGCTGCTCAGATGATTTTCATTTGCAGTAGAGTTTCAAATTTCTACTTTGTGTGAGCAAATGTTTCTGGATTTCATTCTGAAAGGTCTGGCTCTAATTTTTATTCTACAAGCCGAGTCCTATAATCTCAATTCATTTCCTTTAACGTCTTGAAAACTGATAAAATTACATATTAACCATTTAAATTAAATGTAATACAGCTCTAGTTTGTTTAATTTTTCTTTGCAGCTCAACCTAAAAAATCAATGCTACACTCCCTCCTGGGTTTAAAATTATCTTTCCTAATATTTGATGCCCAGAACTGCACACAGCACATCAGCAGTGGTCTAAATTAGGGCTACGTATAGCTGAAGCAAGACTTGTACATCCTCGTTTCTAGTCCTCCAGGTTTAAAAGCCAACATTTAATGAACTCTTTTTATTATTTTCTGCACCTGTTCATGACATTTTCACAACCTAGGTCCCAGCCCTCGAGTGTTTTGGATGTCCACTGTTTCTACGTTTCACCTCCTAGAAAGTGTTTATTCTACACTTGGAGGGTCCATGATGGATGGCCTAATTTTTGTCAACTTTGAAATGCATTGAGAGTCATAGAGACTTACAGCATGGGAACAGACCTTTAAGTCCAACTCATCCATGCCAACCAGATATTCAAAATAAATCTGTCCCATTTGTCAGCATTTGGCGCATATCCCTCTAACCCCTTCCTATTCATGTACCCATCCAAATACCTTTTAAATGTTGTAATTGTACCAGCCACCACTGGCAGCTCATTCCATACATGCAACACCCTCTCTGTGAAAAATGTGCCCCATAGGTCCCTTTTAAATGTTTCCTCTCTCACCTTAAACCTATGCCCTCTAATTTTGGACTCCCCCCACCCTAGGGAAAAGACCTTGTCTACTTACCTAACCATGCTCCTCTTGATTTTATAAACGCCTTTAAGGTCACCTCTTAGCCTCTGAAGCTCCAGGGAAAAAAAGCCCCAGTCTATTCAACCTCTCCCTATCGCTCAAACCCTTCTGCTCTAGCAACATCCTTATATATCTTTTCTGAACTCTTTCAAGTTTCACAACATTCTTGCTATTGCAGGAAGGCCAGAATTGCACGTAATATTCCAAAATTCGCCTAACCAATGTCCTGTACAGCTGCAACATGACCTCCTAATTCCTATACTCAATGCACTGACCAATAAAGGAAAGCAAACCAAATGCCTACTTCACTATGCTATCCAGATGTGCCTCCACTTTCAAGGAACTATGAACATACTCTCCAAGGCATTTGCTGCAATTTTGTCCATTCACGTAAATTTATCAATGTTTTTTATAATTTTACATTCCATTCATTGTAATATTGCATATCTTTGCATCATTGATAAATTTAGATATGTGGCTTTTTACTTGATCAAAGTAATTCATGAATGCAGTGAATAGTTGAGTAGAAGGTCTTATGGAGCAGTGGTTATGACCTTGTCTCTGAGTTAGAAGTTCAGGTGCAAGTCCCACTTCAGGACTTGGAGGTCATGGAAGATGCATTTGTAATGTGGCCCAGTAAGTTGGTTATCAATCTGTAAATCCTTCCAATACATAATATTGAAGAGTATTGATGACTGTGCTTAATATGGAGCGGCACCCTTCAAGCTATGACAGGTTAGCGACCGGTAATGGGAAATCTAGCATACAGCTATGGAAACATATGTAAACACATGCTTTGTCTGTCTCATCCGTCACTCGAGAGAAGAACAAAACGAGGAATAGTTGAGGCCCCAGTACAGATCTACATGGCATATCACATGATACATCCACTCAACTTGAGAACCTGATATTAACCCTAATCTTTGTTGTCTGCTGCTCAAGTGATTTCCTAAACAGATCAATTATTAGGTCTTCAATTCCATGAGCTTCAACTTTAGCTGTTACAAAGGCATGTATAAGTATACATACATATAACCCAAAGGCAAGAAAATTAAGATAAGCCTTTGGTCGGGCCCCAGCAAGAGAAATGTTAAATTCAAGGCACCACACTTTAGAAACGATGTCAACATCTTAGAAGGGTGGCAGACAAATTTATTCAACACAGAATTGAAAGGCTTCAGTTATGTGGAGAAAATATAGCATCAAGCTGAGATGGAAGAAAATTCAATAGCAACACTCAAAAAGGAGCTGAAGAAATACTTGAAAAGGAAAAAGAAATTGCATTGTTATGAGGAAAAAGCATAGGACTTGAATTAATTGGATAGCACTTTCAAAAAGGTGCAATGGCCAAATGACCTTCTGAAATATTATCCTTTTAATAAGCAAAACAGATGTGCAGTGTGTTTCTTAAATGTTAAGAGACTAGAAAGCATAGACATACACAGAGACTTGAGTGCCCTCATCAATAAGTCACATGCAGGTACAGTAAGTAAATAGGAAGGTTACTTGTTTGTCAGCCTTTATCACAAGAAGTCTTCAGTACAGGAGTAGCGAAGTCTTGCTTCAAATGTATGGAACCCTTGATTAGACAGCATCTGAAATAGTGTGCGCAGTTTTGTTCTTCTTATGTTAAAGAAGAATACTACAACCATAGGAGGAGTTCCACTAAGATTCGCTAGACTTGTTCCTGGGATTGCAGGACTGTCCTATGAAGACAGTTTGGGAAGACTGGGCCTGTATTCTCTAGAGTTTTGAAGAATGAGAGGTAATCTCATTGAAACCAACAAATTACTTAAAGGAATAGACAGAAAGCTGCAACACAAAGGTACTTGCACATGAAACACAGAAGGCTAGCACAGAGGTACAGCAGGTTATCAGGAAGGCTGATGGAATCTTGGCTCTTATTTCAAGGAGGTTGGAGTGCAAGAGTATGTTCAAGATGCTGTTAAGACCACATTTGGAGCTTTGGTTCCCTTCGTTGGAAGCAGTTTAGAGAAGGTTCACCAGATGACCTCTAGTATGAAGGTACTATCTTATAAACAAAGGCTAAAAGGGTTGGGACTCTACTCACTGGAATTCAGAAGGATGAGAGGTGATCGCATTGAAACACATTGGATTCCTAAGGGCTTGACAGGGTAAGTGCCGAGAGGACGTTTCCCTCATGTGAGAATTTAGGATCAGAAGGCATGATCTCAGAATAAAGGTGCACCAAATTAAGACTGAGATGTGGAGGAATTTCTTTTCTCAGAGGTTTGCGTGTCTTTGGAACACCTTGTCATAGACAGCTGATGGGGCAGAGTCCTTGTGCATATTTAAGGCTGAGACTGACAACATCTTGATCAATTGGGGAATCGAGGGTTATGGGGAAAACACGGAAAATGGACAGATTGAACAATGGAGCAGGCTTGAGGGGCTGGACAGCCTACTTCTGTTCCTATTTCTTATGGTCTTAGATGCAGGTAAAATGTTTCCCCAGTTGGGGTGTCTGGAACCAGTGTACATAATTTCATAATTGTGACCACAATGAGGAGTTTTTTCTTTGTTTGGGGTTTGTGAATCTTTAGAACTCTCCACTCCAGGAGCTGCAGAAGCTTAGTCACTGAGTACATTTAAAATAGAGATTGACAGATTTTTAAATACCAATGACATGAAGGGATATTGAGATTCTATGAAAAAAAACACACTGAAGAGTAGAATCAACTTACTTTGTGAGAGGCTGAATAGCCTACTCCGGATTATTTTTTAAACAAAAGGACACAGATCAACAAAGCCATTTAGTTCAAAGGAAATGCAGCTTATTGGTCCTTTTAATTGTGTGCTTGTGATTCCTATTAGGCAGGCTTAATATCATAATTTCCTTTTCAGTGGGTCACATGCAATACTTTATTTTCTTAACATGGGATACACTGAGGTTTTTGGAGTTTGAGCTTTCATTATAGTGGAAGATCTATGTAGATTGCAGAAGGTCTGTTGGCAACTTCAGATTTCAGAATCTCTTCAGCGATTGTGCAATATTATCTTAAATGTGTCAAGTGGAAACACTTTATTAAACTGTGGAGCAAATCCACTGTATGTGCAACAAAAACATAAATGAGCATGCTCAACTTTTGTGTTATGATTGATAAATTTATTTCTGTCTATAGCTAAGGAATTTGTAAAAACTTTATGTCATAGGGTCATAGAGTTGTACAGCACGGAAACAGACCTTTTGATCCAACTTGTCAATGCCAACCAGATATCCTAACTTAATCTCGTCCCATTTGCCAGCATTCGGCCCATATCTCTCTAAACCCTTCCTGTTCATATACCCATCCAGATGCCTTTTAAATGTTGTAACTGTACC